TTACTTCGATACACGAAGGAGAATCATTAAACCCTCACGTTCAATCAGAATCTGTGATTTGGTGGTCCACGAGTCAAGCGCTCCGGCACAGAGGCAAAAGATCCCACAGCAAGCAGCGATCCAAACAACGGTCCTGGTTTGTTTCTCAAGAGTTGTATTTTCCTTTTCTTGTGTAAAAGAAGTCTTATAAAAAGACTATCTCTTTGAATTTATTGTAATCGACCGAAGATATAATGAATTTCATGACAAAACCAACTTTTGACCCAAACACCAATTTACCTTCCAATGATGCCTCCTTGGAAGGCCCCTAAATGCCTGAATGAACACCAAATAGAAGACCCTTCAATCATCAAATAGAAGTGCCAAACTCCACCTCGGTCTCCTTGCTCATACCAACGTGCTCAAAAGGACTTCAATATGCAGGTCAAGGGCACTTCTCAATAATCCAATGCACCGTATCAATAAACAAATAACCCAGCCTCAAATCCTTCTATCTCGGCCAACTATCTCAAAGCACTAACAAATGAAGAATAGATCCAAACTGATAAAGGAGAGAATTTTACCTCCAAATGAAACCCTAACAAGAGTCTCCAAACGATCTCACCCCGCACGACGGCAACGAGATCCACAAATAGGAAAAATCTCACCTTTATCTCCAAACGAAGCCCTCGAAGAGCCTCCAAAGCGATCTACTCCTCCAAATAGCCCAAGCGCCAACAAACCAATGCGGAATAAACGAAGAATAGATCCAAACTAAAAAAGATAGAGTCTTTGCCAAAAAGATCTCACCTTTCTCACCAAACGAAGCCCTAACCGAACTTCCAAATTGATCTACTCCTCTAACCAAGACAAAACCCTAGATCTGAAATCTGGAGCTCTGATACCACTTGTTGTGCGCGTCGCGGAAGCGTGACAACCAAACGGGCGTGCTTCGAGAACCAAATCAAACAAACGTCGAGATAAAGGCTAAACAAATCAAAACAACGGCACAAATCCAAACACAATAGTTTTACGTGGTTCGGCAAGTTGCCTACGTCCACGGGGCAAGAAGGGGGTGGGGTTTTTACTAATAGAGAAAGAGTACAAATTGAGATTACAAATCACTCGAAGGAACAAACTAATCTTACCAACAAGCTCTTAATCTCTCTAAACAAAACCCTAAACAAATAGCTCAGAAAATACCTCTTTTCTGTGCTCCAAATATCCCTAATTTTTCTTCTCCACCAAATTCTCTCTTCCAATTGTTCCATATATATAGAAATCCTAAAATCATAAACATACTAGGAATTCTAAACCAAAACCAAATTAAATTAGGAATCCTAATAACCTATTACCAAAATAGATTAGGAATCCTAATAACCTCATGTTACCAAAATAGACTAGGAATCCTAATAACCTCATGTTACCAAAATAGATTAGGAATTCTCTATCCAACACTTCTGTTCCCGAACATTATAATAAAATTTACCTTCCATGTTATTATTTTATTTTATATTCTTAGAATATCACATTTAGTAAGTCAATAATTATAATTAGGCTATTATGTGTCAGTATTAGATTAAATACAATAATCATACTTCTTTTAAAAGTACGAGTTTAAAAAAATCTTTCGGTAGACGAAAATACCTTTAAAATTCAAATACTAATACATTTAAGTAAGAGTAAGTTGATAAATTAATGAATTCTTATTGGATATACATGGTATGAAGATAAATATATAGTTTAAATTGAAATATAAACCTAAATGATATTATTAAATGCCAAAGTTATAAATATATACAAGATGAATGACGTATATGCAAAAACCAAACAAATTAGGGAGACAAATAATGTCCGCCCCAGAAGTTGAACATTGGAACAACGTAGACCTACAAATGTACATAATGTGGACGAGGTATTTGCAAAATCCACCAAACAAATTAAAGAGACAAAATCATTCTGAAAATTATAAAAAAGAAAAATTAAAACAAACGACTGCGATATGAGGACACAATGTGGCAATCTCTCACCAACTAAAATTCAAGTAGTTCACGGTACTGCATAATTAGTTTTAAAGTTTAATTATACTATTATTATTTAAATAAATACTGTTTATATAAAAATCAAAGAGAATCTCACACATATCTTAAATCTCAATGCCAATCGTAATATTTACACATTGGTGTTGGTTAAAATAAATTTCATGTATGAGCTTAACTTATATAATCCTACTTTAACCGGATTAGATAATTTAATTTTTTAACACCTGAACTCTTCCACAAAATTAAAAGAAAGTAGCAATGCTATAGCTATATATATCCTCAGGATCACAAATATCTTTAAAATGAATGAAGAAAACCACACAAACAAAAACCATAGTAATTACATACACACACCCACTATTTTCAAAACCACCATTCTCCATCTCCATATATTATATATCCACATACCAAATTAAGCTGCTGGAGTTTCTCATCACCAACTACACCATTGATCAACCCTTATTTTTTCCTTTGTACTTAAACTGTATAACACGTTCATTGTGATGAGGACTCACATGGATCCTCTAGTCCTCTGCCTGCCTTGAACGTCCAACAAAAAAATAATGTACTAGGCATTGTAGTTAGTTAATAATGTGATCCTATCATTATAAATAAACTAAGTAAAGATTAATAATTCTTAAGAATGTACTACATTCCCCTATCTTCCACTGTAAACTTGTTAGTTGTTTATTCTTGCCCCCAAGAGATTTTTAAAATTAATCATCTATTTCATAAATTTTTTTAAAATGTTTAAATAAAATTTATGACAAAATGTAATAATACATGTTTATAGATTTTAACTCAAAATGAATCTTACTTATTTTATAGTAAGAAAATAAAAAAATATCACGTGCATTGCACGTGCACAAGAACTAGTAAACTTAAATTGTCAAGTATTTCTCTAATTAGTCCACTATAGGGATATTTTTATAGTGCCCCAAAGCATTCATATTTTGATATTACTCCCTCAATCATCATACTTGGAGTTAGTTCCCTAAGTTAGTTAAAATTTTGAAGTTAGTCCCCAATTATTGTAGTTTTAAAATGAGTTCCCTAAATCTTTTAAGGTTGTCAGAATTAATCCATTAATCCTTCAACTAAATGCTAATTAAAGGAACTAAAACCTTTCTCAATGCTAATTAGAAAAAAAATATAATCAATAAGATTTCAAAAATTATTTATAGATCCACACAAACAATGTATTAAATGTAAAAATATTGCAAAAAAAGAAAAAAGAAACACACACCACAAAAATGCAATCAAATAGGAAAAATATAGAACAAAGTAGACATTTACTTTATTCTTCAAGTAAAACCTTTCTTAATTGTTTCTTCCTCCTGTCCTTATAGACCTAACTAGAGTATTATTAATAAACGGTTGCATAATGGCGATTTATAGAAAACATCTATGAAAAAAATATACATGTCTAATAAAAAGAAACAGAAGTTACCTGAAATCAAGATCTTCTTTTATGTATGATGATCTTTTATGTATGAGGAAGAGAGGAGAATGAATATACCAAATCTGGAAAACAAAACAAAATTTTGAATAGAAAATAGCCCCTAACCAAATTTTACACACACACACACACAAACACACACACACACACACACATATATATATACTAGTTTTTATGCACGTGCATTGCACGTGGTTAAATAATTTAAAAATGTTGTTTTATATTTATTTCATTACTTTAAATAAGTAAGATTTATCTTGAGTTCAAACATGTATTATTGAATTATAAAATTTATTAGTATTTTATTTAAATATTAAAAAAATTAAATGTAAAGGAATTTAAGCTAAATTTGGATGAATATACGTATCTGGCATATTGTAATTGTTAGTATGTATTTTAGTTATAGTAATGTAGAAAATATTTCAAAAATTTAAGTTATTTTAGATATTTTTTGACTTAAAAAGCTAAGATCATTGTTTGATTTACTGCAAACTTGTAAATTATTTTTGTTCTAAAAATTTTTAATTGATCACTACCACCAACACTTAACATGAACTTAATTAAAGTATGAAAGTAAATCTTAATCAAATTTGGTCCCTTATTCAACATGGCAACAATCTCAACAAGTACTAATTAGTAAGCCAAGTTTTTTTTTTGAAAACAATGAATATTGAGGTTTGTGACAATCCCAAGCAAATTTATCACAATAGCAATATATCCATTCATAGGATCAATAAAAGCATATTTTTATCGATTGCCTCTCACGAAATGCAGGATCATATATATAGAAAATAATAAAATATAGTAAAATGGTTAAATATCAAAGTGTAATTTTATTTGATGTAAGCAATCACATAAGCATACAAAACTACTAATAACTTCGCATGAAAATGCATTATAAAAATTCCAAATTGTTATAAAAAATTAAGATGTTATATAAAATGATTAAAAAATATTGTTCTTAAAAATTTCTAATTGAACCAAGATCAATCTTTCTCCACCTTTATCTTTTTTCTGGGAATTTGGTCCCCTATTCAACATGGCAACAATCTCAACAAGTAATAATTAGTAAGCCAAGTTTTTTTTTTGAAAACAAAGAATATTAAGATTTGTGACAACCCCAAGCAAATTGATCAAAAAAATAATTCTTTGCTAATTGGTTAAAGAGGCCACCTTTATATCATAAATGATTGATCACATGCTGCGGTATCCATAGACAATAATAAAATATAGTAAAATGGTTAAATATCAAAGTGTAATTTGATGTGATGTAAGTAATCACATAAGCATACAAAACTACTAATAACTCTGCATGAAAATGCCTTATAAAAATTCCTAATTGTCATAAAAAAATAAGTTGTTATATAAAATTATTAAAAAATATTGTTCTTAAAAATTTCTAATTGAACGAAGATTAATCTTTCTCCACCTTTATCTTTTTTCTAAGCAACTCTAGAGTAGCATCTTCATCATCTACGTTGATTGTAATATCAGACTGGAGTTGAATTTCTTGTGCTATTATATTGCCTTCGCCACGTTCATCTTTTGTCTTTTTATCTAACTTCACCAGGAATTTGAATGTTTTTCCGATGCTCAAAACAAATTTTTGGTAATATGGACTCTGATTATTTTTCTGTTGCAATGAGAACAAATGTTATATTAATACTTATGAATTTGTTTATTTTCTAATTTACTACTTGAATAGAGTTAGGAATTACCTCTTTCTTTTCTGTAATGAATGTTTCTGCTTTGCATCCAATAAGAGTTTCTGCTACGTCAAAAAGTGTTACTCTTGCATTATCCGTGCCATTTTCCACGAGAATCTTAACTAAGTACCTGTATTTTTCATTGTTAATTTCTAAAGACAATTAGTATTGTATTTTAATAAGTTAATGACATTAAAAAGATATATTACTTAACCTTGGTATTGGGTCATCAATGATTCTGCGGCATTTGTCATTTAGACACTCTTTACTAACATCTTTATCAACCTTCTTGTCACAGCCTTTGCAAGCATAGAACCATGGATCGAGCCTATTTAAAATAGTAGTTATATTTACCTTAAAGGTGCAATACTGTGCCTGTATATTAACAAAGTTTAGTTAGATTTAAATTTGTAGATGAGAATATGTATATAATATTGTACCTGTATCGAATTTTGTGACTTATGCATAATATCACTAATATGAATTTCCTTGGCATTTTTAAAAAGCGTCGATGGAGATCCTTTTGCTTTTGCAGATTCTTCCAATTGAAACCTGCATATTAGATTAAAATATAATAATATTTCATTATTGGGTTATATGAAAGTATGCTTGTTCTGCTTACCATTCCCTTAATTCGCTAGCTAGTTCTATTTTTGGGTTGATACATAATGTTAAAATAATTTGCGACGATATGCTTGTATCCCCTGCAAAAATAGGAAAATTATAGGAGTAATTTTATGTTTAGCTATCTTTAATAAGAATTTCAGCAATAAATTATGTACCTTGATATATAGAGATTTTAAAATCTGATATTGCTATTACAGGCTTATATTTGATTTCTGCTTTAAGAATTGATCCTTCATTTGTAGCTAAATCTCCAAATAAAGTTGCACGCATTGGCATTCCACTGCATATGAAAAAGAAAGAACGTTAATTTTTTTTCTCTTATGATATTGGAAATAAGTAACATGAATATACCTCATATCCATAAGCGTGATTTTCCCTCCTAGTGTCTAGTTTGTTGTGTCTTGTAATATAGTTGATCGTCGGCTTAACATTAGTTGTTATTGCAAGAATATTTGCAAGTGATTTGATAAAAAGATTATGATTCTGTAGATTAATGTATCATTTTGTATTGAAGATTTAAGTAAGAAGTTTGTAAGTACTTACTAATTTTTGTTGCATCTTTCATGAAAAATGCTTCTTCAAATTGGACAAATTTGTTAAATATGTTCTCCAACTGGAATCTTGTTGGTGCTTCTTTTATCGATACGTCTTTTGTTAGTACTAATTCAAGTGACTTGTGGATACTTGGAAAAGCTGGGTTTATTCCTTTCACTTCTCCATTTGAAATAAAAATAATTTTATTTTTTTGAAGCATATCTATAAATTTGTCGATAGTCTCTCCGTACATTACTGCTTGTATTTTGTTACCCTGCAAATATTATTAACACCAGAGATCAATGCATGGAAAATATAATTAATTAATACTAATCTATATATTATATGTAAATAGGGAAACATCATAAAAGGCCATTCTGATAGTTATCAATGTTTTAATGTAATTTACCGATTAGAAAATGAGATTTGGCAATATTCATATGATCAGATGTAACGTTGGGCAAACAATATAATATTAAAAATAATTTTATTTTACCTTTGTGTCAGCAAGAATTAGCTTTAGTATTTTCTACTGCCATCACATTGTTTATTTATTGATAAGAGAGAGGGGGCATAAATTAGGATTTTTCTAAAAATCCTAATCCTAATTTGTACTGTATCGGATCGGAGACCAGAGAGCTGACACTCGAATTGACAGAGGGAGAGGATTCCTACTGCCATCGAATTTACAGAGGGAGAGCGTTTTCTGGGGTTTTGCCTTTTGCCCCCCCTAGATTTATTTTACTTGCAGATTCACTCTTCACATTTTCTAATTCACCCTTACATTCTCCCGCACTATTTTTACGCTTTTCTTGCTTAAGACATTAACATCCGGATGAGTAAATTAGTAATTATATAGATTTTACGGTGAACCGAAAATAGCAATAGATTTACAGGGTATTATCGTATGTGAACAAAACATCCCTTATTTTTTCATGAAGCGGGAGGTACTTTTCATTTTATCTATTCTCGGTTTGAAATTTAATTATATCAAATGACAAGATGTTACCCCCTCGTCATTTTATCTATTCTCAGTTTGAAATTTAATTGTGCTAGATGACAGGAAACTTCACCGAACGCCGAAGAATGTAAGCATAAATTAGCAATGATTCGTATTCTATAGATGGATTGATAAGATAAATTTGGGTTTATATGTATAAATGCTAGCTGGAACATGGTTTTGGCTTTTATCTGTGGGGGAACAAGAGTTTTTCTTTTGGTTTGTAATTTCTGTTTGAACTCAAGTGCACATTCTTTTTGGTTGGGAATGTGTATCTTCATGTATCAGCCAATTTTTGGTTAATTTAGATGGCTGGATTACTGTTATGATTAACAGTAGTCCATCCTTTCTCTCAAAAAAAAATTGCAGAGTAAATTAGCGGTGTGTTATCTTTCCAAGTGCCAGAGATCGAGGGGCTGAAGGCCCCTCTCTGTTGCATATTGTATTGCTCAGCCGAAAGCTGGAGCATCCTCATGTACGTTATTCCATTATTGGTGACCATTAATTGATTCTTTTGCGTGATTGTTTTTGAAAAATTAAAAAATGATATGCAACCACGTGATTGAGTTTCAAAAACAACCATGAGTATGAATGTGAATGTGTTGTAATCTATGCAAAAACAGAAACTAATTAAAAGCTTGAAAAGAAAAAAGAAGAAGAGAAAATGTATCTATTTTCTATTTCGGTTTAATCAAATAAAATATATATCTAAATTAAATTAATATTAAACATAAAGATTTACCTTGATAGATGGGAGAACCTGCAACAATCAATATTTAATCCTCTAAATTCTGCATGAAAATTGAAGAAATTTTAAAATAATTTAAAGTGCCATAAAAAGTAACTATAGTGTAAAACAAATATCACCATTAAATCAAATACACAATATTTCTAAAGAATAATCATCATGAAAATAAAAAAGAAACATACATGTTGAAGGAGATGAAGTTACTATAAAAATTGTGTAATTTTTTGGTTTATATATAGGCATGAGGTATTGCATGTGATAGGATAATAGTCATAATTAGAGTTTTATTAGGATTAGGATTTGAATTAAAAAATACTCTTTAATCAATCGGATCTGAACAATGATAGAAAAAGTCTCTTAGACAATTTAATCTATTTTTAAATTGCATTACAGGTGCTTCAATTAATCTGGAGTCTACAGTAGAGTCTAGAGATAAGAATATTAAAGTAAAGTTGTTATAGTCTAGAGAAGTTATTACGTACGGGTGCTTGAAATACTCTTTAGAAAGTTATTAATCGGGAATTTAATCAAATAAGAAATATAACCACCATAACAAACCCATAAAATAAATCATTAAATTAAATTTAAAAA